AACCAAAGCAGTTGTTTAAGTACAGGTACTTTGAACCTGGGAGCTCAGCTTTAATGCTTCGCGTTAAACTATCTGAGCGCCATCATCATCAAATGAGTGCTGTCATCATCAAATGAAATCATCACCCTGTTGCATAAACTGTGCAATTGAACATGGAACTTAAATGTTACTTATAGTAGCGCAGCGGACCGGGTCTGAAATACTGCCTAGGGCTAAACTAGGCAAAAACACAACTATTCTTCAAGCACAAATCGGTTTGGTAGCGCACATACCGCTCAGCTGATATATGTTTGGGGTTAATGTTGATTTGCTTTGATAGTTTAATGCGGATTATTGCATTTAAGCAAATATTTCAATTATGGTCTCATTTGATTTCTTTCACTCGGCTTTGTCTCATTCAACTAAAATCATATCGTTTTTACGGATAAGCCCTATTTCCGTTCGTTTAAATTTGACTACTTTCTTAATTTGCTTGGAAGACAATTAAGTCATATTTATAAATTACCATTCGATTACCATTAAATAATTTGGACAGTTTTATTAATATATGTAGAGGTTGTATTTTTGAGATTTTGATCCATTATTTGTAGTTATAAAAAAAATGAACAATCACGCGAACGAGTACATCGAAACAAGGGAGGTTTACGTCCAATATTAAATAGCAACACACCATTTTAAAAGGTCCATAGCAACATTTTCATTCGTTTCTTCTTTTAATTAAAAAAATAAAAATTTATGTATATTTTTAAAAATAAATAATTTTTGGTACTTTATTAATGTTATATATAAAAATTAAAATATCTACATATATTAAGATCGAAAACATCTTTTTTGAATATTTATAATAAACAGAAATATTATTTCGAATTGTAGGTTAACATATATTTACGAACTATTAATACTTTTTGAAATATCACAGTCAATATTATCTGCTCAGCTGCATTCATTTTAAATTATCACAGATTCGATCCAATCAATATATTTGCCAACACGTGTGTAAATACCAGGTAGACCTGGTCTGCCACAACCAATACCTGTTGAAACGACTCCTATTAGAATATTTTCTTTAAATATAAGTGGGCCACCGGAATCAGCCTTTCAAATATATATGTCTTTATTAGTCTTTTATTATAAATTTTATATTAATTCATAAATTTAAAAAATACTACCCAACAAGAATCGATGCCACCATTCTCGAAACCAGCACATAATTGAGTGTCATATATATTATTTGTTTTGCCATTTAGCTGATATGATTTTTCACAATCACTGTTGTTCCATATCTGAACGGATGCTTTTCTCAAGGTGTCTGCACGCTCTCCAATAGATTGATTTTCATTAGTCCAACCCCAACCAGATACTGTTGCAACTTCATTTTCATAATTATTTGAACCTGTTTTAGCATTAAGACAAATTGGTTGTATATATGGAGTAAATTTAATTGGCTTTACAATTTCTAGAAGAGCTATGCGGACAAAAATCGTTAGTACTTGATTTTTTGAAACTTAATTATATGTTACCAATGTCGTTTTTAACTTTTGTGCAAATATATTCGGGATGAGTAATTATTTTCTTAAAATCAATTTGTATCGGGGTTGTCGCATCAGTGGCTATAGTAATGCCATTTGTATATTCAGAAATACTGTGTAAGCCAACCACACCATTAATTTGTGATGGCTTAACGAACTTATTCAAACCGTTGCATAGGCAATGGCCCGCTGTTAATACCCAACTTTCATGTATAATAGTTGCACCGCAAAAATGTCCTCCACGTCTTGTAAGACTCACAATAAAAGGTATTTCATTCTTTACTGCTTGTGAGCCTCCAACAATTCGTGAGTTTCTTTTGTTGCAAACAATTGACGAAACTATAATTTGTGAAAAATAAAATAAGTGCAATGTATTTAAAACGAATTATATTTTAAATACTACAATTTACATACTAGTTGTAAATTGGTTTATATTAAAAAATTTGATATAAATTACAATATCATAAGTAATTTTTTCATTTCAACATTTTACTTTCTATCCTATTGTATATATAATATATGATATATATAATAATATAATAATTCTTATATATATAATAATTCTTTGAAACGGCTATTACTATTGGCTAATAATTATTAGCATTAGATCTCTTTGACCCAATGTTCTATTACGAATTGAAAAACAAATTCCGAAGCATTGTAAGACAGTATTCACTCTTCTACCCTCTTTCAGAAAAGTATTTAAGCTTCACTCCAACATGAAGAAAAATATGAAGAACTTGGATAATTTAAACGTGGTATATCAAATCAACTAAATCAACTGTAAAGGTGACGGGTCTATATTTCAGGAAATAAATATAAACAGGAATGGCTGGAACAGAACATAAACTATTAAAAAGGTTTGGAAACTAAAACAGCACTTTTTTTTTTAATTTATCTCCCAAGAGGATGTTGTTGTATAAGCAAACAGCAACAAAATTGTGCTGTAGGCATAATAGTAAAAAAGCACCAATATTGTGCAATATGTAATAATTATATACAGGGTATATGAACATGGTGTTCAGATATGAGGTACCTGATAACTTTATGACATTACAAATGGAATTTGAATATAATTAATATAAAGCAATTATAAATTTACTTAAATTATAATAAAAGAAATTAATATAATTAGTCGTACTTTTCACGTTTTAAGAACGTTCTAAATATAATAGAAATATATATATTTTTCCTAAAAAATATTTATTAATAACAAAACTTATTCCAAATTCTTATTTAAAATTAAAGATATGAACTTTTTTTTTCTTATTCAATGTTTATTTCTTTTTAATGTCATCATTAAATTTGGCTTTTACTCAACAAAGTGGAAAGCATCCATGATTATAATGGTTCATAAATCAGGCAAAGATCCAACTCTTACCTCTTTTCTTCTAAACTTACTATCATGTCTTTCTAAACTCTTTGAAAGAGCACTGCTTTTATAGCTGAAACTATTTCTTGATGGTCAAAACATAATACCCTCCCACCAGTTTCGCTTCAGGGAAAAATATGGAACTATTAAAGAAGTGAATCGTATAACGCATAAATTGATTTGAAACAAACATTTGACAACGTACGGCATAATGGGCTCATATACAAGATACGCTGTATATTACCTACAAACATCCACTCAGTTTTAGAATTGTATCTACAGAACAGATGTTTTAAAGTCAAATGTAAATCATTTACTTCTAATAATTTCCCAAGGAAATTCCCTGGCGTTCCACAAGGAAGTGTTCTTGGCCCTATCTTGTATGTACTTTACACATCTGATATCTCAATAAGGTATTTAGTTGTCACCACAACGCAATTTTATGCCGAAACAAAAATGGTGTACTAGCTTCAAAGCAACTTCAATCTCACTTATTTCGGGTAAAGAAATGGTTGTCAAAATGTCGAATTAAAATTAATGAACTAAAATATAGACACGTCACTTTTAACTTAAATCGGAGTAAATCTACAACAATTTTAACATATAGCATTCTTTACCATAAACAGATAATTTAACGTACTTAGATTTTCACCTAGATAGACATTAACTTAGCGCAAACACATTAAAGCCAAGAAACCACAATTGAAGCTCCAAGTCCTTAATTGCATTGCCTTATTAACAAAAGCGCCTCCCTGTACCTAGAGTATAAAGTACTTTTGTATAACAGCATTATAAAACCAATATGGACTTATGGCATTCAGCTATTTGGTGATGCAAGTGCTTCAAACATTAAAATTATTCAAAGAGCTCAGTCAAAAATACATAGAACAATCACTGATGACCCATGGTATATTAGGAATGAAAGTACCAATCGAGATCTACAAATTCTCTTAATTAAAGCTAAATTTAACAATAAAAGAAAATACTACAATAAAAGGCTGAGAGAACATGTTAAGACCTTGGCTAGGAATCTCACAGTTCTATCCACTACTTTCCGTCTAAAAAGAGCTGACCGTTCACCCATTAATTAAAATTCAATAGGTATAAGTAAAAATCCTACTCTTTTCTTAGTGATGTGATAAAGTCCAATTGTTTTCTTAATAACCACGTAACATTCATTCCAATGAAATTTAACCCATTACTTTAAGTGGGCTCCGTAATATAGTTTATATAGTTAAAATAAAAATTATAATATTATTTAATTAGTAATAAGATTTTAAAACTTATTGTTAGTCTCATTGTAAGAGAAGATACAATAAATAGTTATATATGTATTTAAAAAAAAATGTCTACTCCAAAATCAATCTAAAAACTTACAAACTGTTTCCACCAAAAAAAAGTTTATTAAAATTGAAATTAGCCCAAAATTCTTCATTCTTATATATATCAAAAAAAAAAAAACACTGCTTCCGTATATTCAAAATGTTCAATTAGCACTAATAAAATCAATTTGAAAAACTACCTCAAAAATGTTTTACTGAAATATTTTATACTCAAATTCTAACGTTCTATGAATGCCTCGTTGAGCTTTTTATCCGTCGTTAACACGTTAACACTGATAACAAAGTTCCAGTTCAGTTATGAATTGAAAATTATATTATAAACATATTAACATATTTAGCTTCGTCATCGTTTCCCTTGCAGTTCAGGGTGACATTTTAAATTCAATGTCGGAAGTTGGCAAAACATTTGTGGATAACTGAAAGCACTTTGCGCGCCATCCGTTTATCATAGCTTTGAGTTGCGCTGAAAGTGCTAGTTAGATATGACTTCATAAAGGCAACTGAATGCCGAAATTGTTTTATGTTGATATAATGTATGAAGTTTAAAACTGACAAAAAGCACTAATAAAAAATTATGTAAACAATGCTAGTAAATGCTGTGGTAGTGCTTTGAACTTGCTTTTAAACGTGATAACTCTGCAATGGATGTATGACATTGACATTGGGAGAATAGGCACATTCACTTTTGGGTCTGGTTCAACGAATTAAAAAACTGAGGTAATAATTTGCCAGTGAAAACAATAAACTGATCATGTACAAATTAAATTGAATCGAAGTCAATGTACTGCCCAGCCTTCGTATTAAAGCCAATTTTTTGACAAATGCACACCTTCCTGTATTTGGACGCGGTGGTGAATAACCCCATTTGCTTGAAGTTTCACGCTACAAGAACCCAATGAAATGGAACTTTTAGGCAAAACAAAAAATGAACTATATAATTTAATAATAAATCGTTTCTAAAAATTGTTTGAATTTTATTAAGTTTGAGAAATGAAAGAGAAAAACAGCTCATTTTTAAATTTAAGAAATACATTTTCTGTCAATATTATTATTATATTTTTGCTATATATATTCAAACAGTTTTTTTGTCTTATAAACAGTTATTTTAATTCACTAATAGTTCTCTCTATATATTCTTATATAATTATACATTAGTGTGGACCTCAGTTATATGGGAAAGCAAACAGCAAAAATCACAAAATTATTTTTTAATTATTTCTTCCTGTTAAAACATATATCCATTGTATATACATATGTACAATGGAACAAGCAACAAATTTCTCAAAGTTTTAAGTTGAATTTTAATGCTTGAATATAAACTATTGTTTTCAATAGAAAGGTATTTTGAATAGTATTAAATTACAACAATAAAATTTTATTAGTTCATTAAATAATTAAATTTATGGCTTAGCATACAGCTCTCTCAGATATACCCAAATACCAATCATCAGTGGTCTTTTTGGAAATATTTGTCATATTTAATTATTCGGAAATAAATATTTGAGGCTGTCATTAACAAGGGTTGAACTCGTCCCCTGCCAAATTTGAAGCTCAGATTCAGTGTTCATTAGCCAACTGACCCAAAGCCGTACTTTTCTTGAAGTTTTGTCAATTTGTTGCGAATGTCCATTAACAATTTCACTTGATGTCTCACATTAGAACGGAATCATAAACCGGCTAAAGAATAATTGTATTTTATGCTATCTAGTAAGGCTTCAAAAATATGAGCCACCAAAAATGATAATTTTTCATATATTTTGGACGCTTTTTCAAAAAATTTGACAAACTTATACGAAAATACTTTAAAACTAAATTTAAAAATAGAAATGTGTTTTCTAGTATAAAGAGGGTGTGGCGCTAGAGTCTGAAAATGAGTCTACAGTTATTGCGCTACGTGCATTTCATAATTAAAAAAAATTGTGTGTGTGTTTTACGAGGGGATACTCATAAGTTCTATACTACTAAATAATGCTTTAAGTATTATTATTTTCCTTCATTTTTGAAATAAATCATAAACAATAAAATTACTACAGGGACACTAAATTAGGCGCATATAAATTAGTCGCATATTTTTTCGATCCCTGAAGTAGTAAAATATTTACTTTGTTGTGCGGAGTGTAAAACGCTCTTTCTTAAAACTCTTTCTTAACATTTTCATACAACCCACATAAAATATGAAAAGGTATTTTTAGTTCAAACTTAGAGAGTTATGTTTGCTTTTCTATATTTAAGAACAGTGAATATCAGTTTAGATTTACACAGCTTGGGTTTTTAGAAATATCTGCATAAAAACTCTTTTAGTCTCTATATAAATTAATGTAGATCTTCTGTTTCATTTTAATTCCATAGCGAAAAGATGTAAGAGTTCCTTTTATGTCGATTTTCATTTAGACATAGAGTGTCGCTTCAAGTTTTGATAATCCGGGATTTTTTTCAGAATCTAAGCTTTGTTACTTATGGTTTATATTGCCCTAAAGACCATTAACACAAGTACCTTCTTCTACTTTCTGCAACTTGCCAATAATAGATAGAAAACACTTAAATCATGTCCAACTTCCAGGTTAACATAGCCCACCTATAATAAAAATAGATCCTGGAAACTCATCAAAAGAGACCGCGGAAACACTGCAAGGCTTTTAG